CCGAGGCTCTAAAAAGGCCTTGCGGCCAATCCAACGGCTGGCTAAATAACAGCCGTCTCTGATTATTTTGTTTTTAACCTTACCGTTAAAAGTTTGCTGGAAAACAAAATTTGGTAGGTATTTGGGATAGAAATGCCTTAAAACATTAAAAACCATTTGATTATCGGGAAAAGAAAAGTGTTCTTTTCATCAAGTATATAAAATAACATATTTAAATATCAACTATGCTACATGAACATTGAGGTTGACATGCAGTTTGATATAATTCTATGCGGCATTCTATCGTTGGACAATTTAAAATGCAGTTAGTTTTTTCTTTCAATTATCTATTGCTAAATGAAATTATGTCAAGCTTTCTATCAAATCTTTTGGGCAAAGTAGATTTATCATTTAATATATTTGAGAAAGTAAAATTTAGGCTTATTAAGGAGAATTTGAAAAGTTTGGAAGCACTTGACAACCTTGAAAAAGAGAACGAACTAGAACCCTGTCCAGTCTAATTCCGTACCAAACGTGCACTATATGTAAATGTGCCTAATTGGGGTTTTAACGCTGATAGATTGTTGCTGCTAACCATCCTTGCATTGCCCCAGACCATCCATAGAATCCCCTCTTTCGAAAACAGCAGCAGCCCCCATGCCCGAACCTACAATGCAACACGTGAAGATTTCCAACATATCAACTAAAATAAGACATGAAAGTCGGGCTGAGTTGTGCGTAACACCTATGCACATTGATATCACACCAAAACGACAATCCTTGCCACGACGCTTCATCTCATGGAGTAGAGTTGCAACGCAACGAGCCCCTGAAAAGGAGGAAACAATTTGTACTTCATCCAAATCTCAGTTAAGAGTCTACCAGATAGTACTAATCTTGATAACCTGTAGCTCCTAAGGGATGCCCAAGAGCCATTGCTCCACCGTTAACGTTAACTTTTTCAGGATCAAGGTCTAAATGTTTACGGCAATATACAAATTGGGAAGCAAATGCCTGCAATAATTACACACAAGAAATTGCACCTATATTATTTTTATAAATACATTAAATGCGATTGTTGCTAAGAGAAAGGAGCACCTCATTTATTTCGAACAAGTCAATATCATCAAGTTGTAGACCGGCAGACTTCAATGCAGCCGGAATTGCAACAGCTGGGCCGATTCCCATAACTGCAGGATCCACCCCTATGGCAGCAAAACTCCTTCAAGAGAAGTTCCAGATAGTTACTGAAAGCTCGAACTATTGTGTAAAAATCAGATTATTTTCAAAGGACAATTCAGGCATATGTACTATTATTATGTCCTCAGAATCATCAATGCATGGTAACAATGTTTATAAGCAACTTCTAAAGGGGTAGTTTGAAGGAAAACTGTGCTCTCAAAGTCGAAGCACCTCTTCAAAATCAAAGACTAAACTTCCAATGTTTTAAGTATTCCATGGAATTTTATTTAAGACATCAGATTGAACACTTCACTGTGACACTCTGCACTGATTTTAGTTGAACTGTGTAGAGCCCAATCACATTGTACTCTTTCCCTTCGACCACGGATAGACCTCGCCTTAGGGGTATATTAGGCACTGTATACATGGTATTATGTTATTCTAATATGTATTTTGAGAGTATATTAGAGATTATATAACGTAGAAGATAACCCTAATACTCCTAAATATATAAAGAAATTTTAGGAGGCGAGTCTCAGAGGGGTAAAATCATTATTATAATCTTCTTCTCCATTATAGTGGAAACCTGCCAAGACGTAACTCTCACATTGATACAAATCACTATAATTGCTCTAATAAACGGGATTAAGACGTAATCCATAACAATTTTCAGCATGTTTCACCTGAATACACCAAGAATTGGAAGCTTTTTTTGCGTAGCCAAACTTCTCTTCATAAGAAGCACTGCTGCGGCACCATCACTTACTTGACTAGCATTCCCTGATATCATGTGCCTATGATTTAGTTAAAATTCGTACAACATAGTAATTTACGATCAAGTCCACCAAATATTATCACCTGCAGTTGTTGTCCCGTTATTCTTGAACACAGGCTTCAACTTTGCCAGATCTGTCGTATTTGTGTTAGGACGAATGCAATCATCGACAGAGATTGCAATAAGCTTCTCCTCTCCATTTTCAGGGTCTACAATCTTTAAGGTAAATATCTTCATTAGAAACCTTAAAATGACTTTATGTCAACTATAACGCGTTGGAAAGAAATTTGCTCTTGTCTACCTTTGTAGAAACTGGGATGATTTCATCTTTAAATTTTCCAGATGCATTAGCTGCAGCAGCACGCTTATGGGATGTGACCTATTGATGTAATTCTGAGAGGTTACAATTGTTTCTAATTGGCTAATTCAATCAGCAGATTAGCTGTTAAAATGCTCATCTAAAGCTCTAAAACCTTGAGATCTTTAACGAGATGGTTCAATATGGTATTTCAGCATATAAAGGTCTTGGTTCCAAGTCTCCCGAGCAATCCATTCAAATAATTCATGTTGTGAATCCATTAGAGGCATACGTGCACAATTTTCGTAAATGGGTGATTGTAAGACTTGGATCCAAGACCTTTGGCTATTCTGAGATCGTGGAGGGATTTACGGTGGGGACAATGGGATCACCTGTCCTCACACTAAAATTTAAATTCAAATTTTTGCACAAAATTTTCAAAAAATTCCTCGATAGTTTTCTATTTTTTTAAAAAAATTTGCCTACATAGCTCTAAAATTCTAGCTCCGATCGTTCAACATTAATGAAGCAGCAAACTTACAGCCGCTTGGTCTTGCTCTTGTCGGGTCACTCCATAACGTTCTGCTACATTTTCAGAAGTGATGCCCATCGGAAGTAGACAGTCTCGGACTTGAGCAAAACTTTCCACCTGTCAACAGTATATTTCCAGCTGAAGACACTAGCACACGGAAATAGTCAAATAATTACTTGTGCAATAAGAAATTCCAGTTTTTAACATACTCTGGGATTAACTTTTTGAATCCAGTCCATCTTATCAACTGTCATGGACTCCAATCCTGCCCCAATGCCTATATAGAAAGAATAAGAACTGAAGGAAAGACAAGGGTCATTTCGGCACATATTTAAGAAACTCTCCTCTTACCAATTTCATAGAATCCTGATTTTATGGAGGCGGCTACATCAGCAACAGCCTGAAGGCCAGACGAACATTGCCTATTGACTGTCCTGATGGGCACAATATCTAAAGAAAACGTCAAAATTAGAATCTTAAGGTAAAAAGAAATGCCTCTTTCTCGAAAAGAAGACATGTAACCACTTTAGTTGCAGGTGGATTAAATCCCTTTCATGTCCGTGAAAATATTTCATCGTTGATAGTCTATAATTTAATTGTACATGGTAAAAAATCATTTATTTTTCAAAGGAAATAAAGGACTACCAGGAAAACCAGCATAAAGTGCAGCCATTCTGCATTCAATTGCTCTGTTTGACCCCGGAGCTAAAACTGTTCCTACAACTATATCTCCCACTTCGGCTGGATTCAAGTCTGTTTTCTCTATCAACGCCTGCAATCAGGAGAAGACCAAATAATGACTAAATGAAGTTTGGATATAATGGTAAAGAATTTAACTCATTTATCTGCTCGTTCTAATTCATTCACTTCAGGACTGGTTCTGAATTCCATATAACATTAACTTGAACAAAGCTCCACCATACGTACCTTTGAGTGCGACCACTAAAGAGCCGCTTATATATGCTTACTAGAAGACTGATTTTCATTCATTATCATTAGCCAGCATGAGACTAGAATAATATGAAGAGACTAGAATAATATGAAAAAACAAAAGCAAGTACGATATTTAAGAAGAACTTCAAACAGGTTCTTGTCTCTCAAAGTCAGTTTATCCTTCAGAGTTTAGGAAACTAACATATTCAATCATTGCAGGTGGCTGTATTTGAGTAGTGTGACTAACCTTTAAAACGGGAGCAAGTAAATCCTCCGGGAGAGTATCCTTGAAGCCTCCCCGTTTAGATTTGCAAATGGCAGTTCGACAGGCACTATTAAACGTGATACACACAGAATGACAATTAATTAATGGACTGAAAAGTTCCACGATTCAGAGTAAACAACGGGATAACACAATGATTTTAAGTGAAGTAACTCACGCTACAATGACAATGTCATCTTCTAAAGCAGCTGTTCTATGATAGGCAGCATCATTCCCAGACGAAGGTGTTGAAGGCTGTTAATTAAAAGAATACAAAACTTTACATGATCGAAAATGATGACTGAACAGAATTGGTGAAGGTGGCACAAAAGTCAAAACTGTTACTAATTCTCAATGATGTCTATAAATCTGAATATAGAAATTTTGCAACTGCTTGGTGCTGGACTAGCACGCAAAAACTCAGATGAGCCTGGCACGGCCTAATATGTTTTAAAACTACTGACATGCGCAGATAGCTTTCTATTCGCAGCATGTCAAGCCTTGATAATATAGGTGAGTAGAAAAGCCTAGAAAGAATAGTATATTACATAAACTTACAGAAATTTCCCGATTCATCAACTCCTTCATGCTTTGTCTCTCCATACTCATCTCTTGAGCTTTTTTCTTCAAACTCTTACTGACAGTTGTGTTTCAATAGAGCCCTACTCCTTACTTTCAGATTTATATATACTTATTACATATAGATACTAATGAGAAAGAGAAGTTCTGGTTTAAAATGCATTATGAGAGTTTGTAATCGAACCCGCCTATTTAATACTGCATAGTGTTGTTTCTTTAAATTATAATATCCTTTGCTCATTTATTCTTCTTCTCCAACTCCATTTAATGTTTTATCTAACTTGTTCAACTTGTATTTGCTTTATTCAAATCTCTGCACATATATCTTTGAGTCAAAAAATGTTAGCTGGAAAGTATATATATTATAAACTGTCCTCAATCTGTTGGGATTTTTAATATCCAATAAATTCTAGACTATAATGTTAACGTGGAATAATATATTTCATAGGCCTAGACCGCTGAATGAAATAAGTACGAACAACCAAGTTCATAGGCTCTACCCGGTCCAATCGTATTCCCTCTTGGATGACTTGAGTTTTGGGCCGTTTAGCTTTATTATTGGTCAAATTAAAAGCCTAGCCTAATTTTATTTATATGGATATAACCCTAGTCATTTTCTAGTGTGATTTCTGAGAAAATTAAGAAGAAAAACGTGGCCCTTTGAAGAGAAGAAACTGGCTGACTTTGTGTACCCAAAATCAGTTGATTAATTTGTGTACTTTGTGATCTCTTCCTTGTCTACGTTTGTGGTATTTTCTTCTTGCCTTTGTCGTTATAAATCATCACCATTATTTTTTCCTTTGTGGATGAGATTGAAAAGCAACCGAGATGAATATATTGGTTGTGGATCGAAGCTAGTTGGATTGGTGGTTGGTAGAGAAATGTAACATTGAACTGAATCTGGAAAACACCGTTTTGAAGATCATTGGACTGAGCTTCCGCAATAATTGGCATCAAAGCTTCAAGATGGTGATTTTGGCTTATGAAACATACCAAAATACGTTGTGAAAATCGACAGAAACGAAGTAGAAATCAAATCGAAAAATTGTCCAGAAAATAGCCCAAAATCAGCTTCTGTTTTCGTGATTTTCGACCAATCCAGAAGGCTTTTGGTGAAATGGAGACCACTAGTCTGATGTGTAGGTGGAGGTAGTCTCGACGGTCAGGCGCGTGTGCATGGCGGAGGCACGTGGCAACCACATACAGAGAGCCTTGCCAACGCGTGAGAGTGCGTGCAGCATTTTCAGGTGACGGTGACTTCAGGCAATTTGTTCCTAACATCATTTCTAACATTTTGGTGTTATTAATTTTCTGTTTCAGGTTGTACAATGGGATCTAGCAGAGTTACTCTTCACACGTTCAGGATGGTTGGTTGATTGCTGCAGTTGCTAAAGATTTTAGGATGAATAGTGGTGGTCTTAAAGTGATAAATTCACATCTCTCATAATTTACGGACTCAGATTGGTTCGCTCTGATATATTGGCTTCTTCCAGTTTAAATTTCAGCATTAGCACGTCATCATGTGGGGTGACATTAGGATTGGGGGTTACCGTGAAGGGATATCTATTGCTTGTACTAGAAATTAAGGAGTTATTTGTCATATTTGAAGTGTTGAATTTGATTGTAAGTTGGTAATTAGTTTTATGCTTAATTGTCATATAATCACTATGTGAAACTACATTGCAAGAGAATTTGAATTTTTTGTTAACATACTTTCGTATTGCATTGATTATTCTGTTAGAATACCTGAACTTACCCGTATAAACATTTTCTTGATCTAAGATCGTAAATCTTACGAAATCTTGGAAATCTAGAACGGTATATATTGCAGCCGTATGATAACTTTGTGTAACCTATCTGTGCATTTGGTTGTTCTATTTTTTCAGAATGTCTTCACGTTTCAAAGTTAGAATTTTCAATGGGAAATGAGATTTTTCAATTTGATAACAAAAGATGAAAGGGATTTTGGTTTAACAAAAAGTTTCAAAAGCCATAAATGAGAAATTTCCTACAAACTTAATAGAAGCACAAAAAGAAGAGTAGCTTACACTTCTATTATTTTACACTTACCTGAAGTTTTGAGAAAAGTTAGAAAACTTGATTCTACAAAAGAATTTTGGCAAAAGTTGGAGAACTTAGATTTGCTTAAGTTAACTCATAGTAAATTGTACTTTCTTGAAAGATTTTTCAGTTTTAAAATATATCCTTCAAAGGATCTTGAGGATAATCTGGATGTTTTTAACAAGCCTGTTCAAGATATTATTAATGTGATGAAAATGTGTTTGAAATATATAAGACCATTATTTTACTTAATTCCATGTCTGATACATATAGAGAGGTTAAAAATGCAATTAAGTATGGTAGGGACACCTTAACACTCGAGATTATAATAGACTCCCTTAAGAGTAAGGAGATGGAGATCAAGGCTGAAAATGAAGATAAGAGAAGTAGTGAGTTACATATGATGAGGAGTAGAATGGAATTTAAGCAAATGAATTTGGGTAAAACTCAAGATAGTAGTGATTTGACTAGTGACTTGAGTGATAAGGGTAGTAAGAAGAACGACAAGGTACGGAACAAGTCTAGTGGTAGACGTTGTTACAGTCGTGTTAAATCTAGACAATTTATTAGGAACTGTCCCAAAAAGAAGGATAAGATGAGAGGTGAGGTGAGACGAATGTGGTTATAGGGTTGAGTGATGACCCTAGTGAGGTTTATTGAGAATAAACCTAGTTACTGCATATGCGTCTGTGTAATCCTTTCTATATGTGTGTGATTAACTAATTTTGTTGCATGATTATATGCCGCATTTCAATGTGTTTGATATGTTCGTTTGCATGAATTTGAGACAATATGATTACTTGGTATATTGTTTCCATGCATTGTGTTAGGATGCATTAGCAGTAGAGTGTATGTCTTTTGGTAAGATAGAGTTATAGATGCCTAGGAGTACATTGTGGTTTGTACCGGAGAATGTGGAGTGTCACATTTGTATAATGAGTGAAGAGGTAATTAAATGTCCAGAATCATTTATCTGTGAAGAGACCTTGATCAGGTAGAGTGTGGAAGAGACACTTTTATCACTCCTGTTAGGTGGAGACCCATTATTCACGTAGGTTGGGAGAGTGATGTGGTGATAGAGGATTGTCCCGAGGACTTATGATCTATTGTGGTATACAAGTTAAAAAGTTGAGGAATCAGTCTAGCGAGCATGGTGGGCGATGAGAGGATATATGTATTCTCGAGGTGTGAGGAGCACAGAATGAGATAGGATAAGTATGGTGAGATTTTTTCGTATGGGTCATTTATGCATTTATTGCATACGCATTGGCCATATGTTGATTGACTTCTTGTTAATCTGTGGTTCTGTGTGAACACGTTTATGAAAAAATCTGTGTGTATTATTCTATTTATTATATCTTCATTGCATGATTAGATGTCCTTGATTGATTACTGTGAATATTTGCTGCTATTTGAGTGTTCTTGACCTTAGCTCTAGTGAGTACATGGAGCAGGTATGGTATGCGTTTCAAGTTAGAAACACGAGGTAAGGTCTATGATCCAATTTTATTGGTTACCTTGATTATACAAGTATTGACCGTGTGTTTTAATTGCTTCAGACTTATTGTGCATCAATGTGAAGATTTGTTAGGTTTTTTGATACCCAATAAGTCCTAACCTATGATGTTAATGTGGGATAATATATTTCATAGGCTTAGGCCGATGAATGAAATAAGTACCAACAACCAAGTTCATATGCTCTACCTGGTCCAATTGTATTCTCTCTGGGATGCCTTGAATCTTGGCCTGTTTAGCTTTGTTATTGATTCAATTAAGAGCCTGACCTATTCCTATTTATATGCTATAACTCTAGTCGTTTTCTAGTGTAATTTGTGAGAAAATTAAGAAGAAAAACGTGGCCCTTTGAAGAGAAGAAACCGACTGACTTTGTGTACGCAAAATAGGTTGATTACTTTGTATACTTTGTGGTCTCTTCCTTGCCTACCTTTGTGGTGTTTTCTTCTTGCCTTTATGATTACAAATCATCATCGTTATCTTGTTCTTTGTGGGTTAGATTGAAAGCAATTGAAATGAATATATTGGTTGTGGATTGAAGTCGGTTGGATTGGTGGTTGGTAGAGAAAGGTAACGTTGAACTGAGTTCGAAAAACACCGTTTTGAAGATCTTTGAAGCAAGCTTCTGCAACACAAACATTTTCATTTTATATAATACTGAGACAATGAAACTCCATCGTATCTTGATGACTTGATTTTCATTTTGGTACCATATGGAGTGTTTGCTATGTGGGATTCCAAATTCAAAGACTTTTTCTCAACTTAGTAGGGCTCTTAGGATTGAAATTTCTTTGAATGAAAACGGAATAGGTCAGGTCAATACGATTGTGACACGAGCTATGTTGTGGTCCATGCCACTATATTTATCGACTTGAAAAGGAAAAAAAAAAAAGCAGTCCACGAGCTAACATCTTTTGCTATTTTTGTACGAGTTATTAGTTCTTGAATTGATTTTATTCCTCCTCATTTTTTTAATTAATCACCCGCAGTTCACGATGACTTTAAGCTAAGCTATTGCTTTGAGTTTCAACCAAAAAAAAAAAAAGATGTTGATCCCAAAAAATGTTGCCAACAGATACCGGACCCACTCGCGCACATGTAAGTCTAGTCTAACACGCTAAGACACGTGAACGGTCTCAAATGGACTAATCAAGGGCATGAGAGAGGCTCAACAATGCTGGACGAGAACGTTCGGAATCCGGCAAGATGTTTGCATAGAGATTGTACAATAATTACTCATCGATGTTTGTAGAATGCGAATATGAATTCGTATAGTATTGTATTGCAAGACGGTAAACACGTCGTTGTATAAAGTGTGTTATGAGAGCAAAAAATATGTAATCTTAGTTCTTGTATTGAATCTTGCATTATCCTTGTAAGAGATGTATGAGAGAGCATTTATAGTATTACAAGTTAGATCGTGACCCTCGGTTGGGAGTACACGTGGCCTCATCTCGTAAGTTTACATGTCAAATTATAGACATCACACTTGACTTCCTAGGACTCTGTCGCTATTTTGACAAGACAAGACACTTGCACTCTATGATAAGTGTCTCATCAATCAATCAGGAATGATCATTGTGTAAGACCGAATCTTTGGGGAGGGGTGCTGC